TTAAATCTATGCCTTGTGCTTTTTCGCGATTTCTTCAAAGTTTGGTCGAATGTACGATAAGCAGATTCTTATTTCTTCTTCAGTTGGGCGTAGTCTTTCTCGATTCTTATTGTTCTTCTTATTTACGGCTGAGAAGCTTTGTTCACATAAATAAGTAGAAATTTGCAATAAAACTGATAAAACCTCTTTAGCTAATGTGCGAGATTCCTTTTGTATTGAAATCCAAAATGTATCAATGGGTGCCATCGAATGTTTTATTTTGAGCCCTCGACAACAAAAAATGGTCGCCAATTCTTTTTTGTCAAACAATTCTTTTAACTATTATTTATTGCTAGCAGCCATACCCAACTGGTCGATCCGAAAAAGCGTTCAATTTGAATGGAGCAAAAACTTCATTATGTTTAGATGTAACAGAGTCTATCTTCTTTAATTATTTTAAAGTAATCTCATTAATAAAAAGTAGAAATTTGCAATAAAACTGATAAACCTCTTTAGCTAATGTGCGAGATTCATTTTGTAATGAAATCTAAAATGTATCAATGGGTGCCATCGAATGTTTTATTTTGATCCGTTGATCACTAGAGATGGGCGCCAATTCTTTTTCACATAACAGAAGTCCAATATACTAATGAAGTAACACTACAACTTCCACACCCGCACACATATAAGGTGCGGCAAAATGATCCTACTCAAGTGTAGCTTTAATAAAAGCAAAATAGAGCCAGTCAGTTATGTGCCATGCGTGATACACGCTTAGACTGACAAGGCAGATTATTCCTGCCATTTTTTTCTGCGTTAAACCAGTTGCCATCCAAAGCTATAGAACCTGGGCTATCTTGCTAGTGGGGGTTGGGGAGAAGAGGAGTCATAACTTTCCCAAGGGCGTTAGCACATAAGTGAATGTAATGGATTTGACTGGAATTCGAACTCGGCTCTCTGATTCCTCAATCCGAGCCGTTATCCATTACTCCACCGTTAAGTACGAAAAATGAACTGTTATTTTCGAAATGTACATATAATGCCATTTTGTTTCATTTCGTTTTAAAAATTAAATCAGTCAAGTGGGTCCCGTTACTTTCCACGAACTTCAAAGGCGTTCACGAGAGTTGTCCATAACTCGACTGGCCATTTCATGTGGAATGGCAGCGATTTCTTGACAAATGATATCTTTTAATTGTTCAATAGATCGAGGGTAATGAGCGTATACCTTTGATTTCAGGTCTCCCCACAGAAAAAAAAAGAATCGCATGGGTTCAAATCAGGTGGTCGGACGAGCCAACGCTTTTTGTGTTGCAGTCACCGATTCGTTGTCAGTCAGTCGTTCACTTTCTGAGCGACTGTTCGGTTCAACTCTCTTCCTACGGGCGGGAGGAACCCGAAGGAGGCTACGCCGAAGGGCGGCGTCTCCTTCGGGGAGGTAAAACCGGCCCTGAACCCGTTTATACCGGTTCAAATGGGCTATTTTTTGGCCGAGCCTAATGGCTCGGAAATTCCCACGTTAAAAAGGCCTTGTGCCACATGACACCCTCGTGGGGGGGGGGGGGTGACTGAATATCGTCACCGATTCGTTGTTCTTGATAAACGTTTCCACAATGAAATCGCGATGCTCGCCAATCCAGTTCATGTTGGCAACTGAAAACGAAATGAAACAAAATGGCATTAGATGTACGTTTCGAAAATAAAAACACATTTTCCGTAACTTACTCTATTTCGCTGTTATTAAAACTAGAAATGTGTCAGATCATTTTGCCGCACTCTGAATATGTACTCTCAGTTATCTTTGGTTAAATGTAAGGCGAACATTTCCAGCGATAAAGCTTTGGCCGCAATGGACAAATTCCAAATAATCTGGAAACCTGATTTACTGGATAAAATGAAACGAGACTGTTGCTTCATGAAAAAAAAAATGTCTTTTAAGAAAATAATTGGAAAAGAAATTAGAGGGAACGTATGCAAGGATGCTATGTGCCGTGTTGAATATATCGTGAAAAAAGCGTCAGGAAAACAAAAAAAAAAAAAAAAAACCAGCCCTATGATCATTTAACTCTCGACTTATAATTCATTCGGTATAGGCACCTCGAAGTGGTGTAATGGTCAGAAAGTATGTATTTCTAGATCAGTTACGACTGAGTAGTGAGTTCGATCCTCACTGGGTACCCCCATACTTTCGGGCTTGTGCCACATCTGTGCTACGTTTAGATGGGCACCTCGACGTGGTGTAATGGTTAGCAAGTAGGTACGGGATCATGTCTACCAAGCCTGAAGCGCACACGAAACGCTCATCGTGTTCTAGTTATCAATTCGTTGTTTTTGATAATTGTTTCCACAATGAAAGCGTGATACTCGCCCATCCAATTCATGTTGGTAACTGTAAACGAAACAAAATGACATTATATGTACGTTTCGAAAATAAAAACACATTTTCTGTTCTTTGCTCTATTTCGCTTTTATTAAACCTACACATGTGTCAGATCATTTTGCCGCACTCTGTATATGTCTACCGGGACAATATTTCGCTGCATGCTTAAGAGGATCGTCCTAGTGTACCTCGGTACGGTGGTTGAGAATCACCGATTTACGGCCATAATCCGTTGAATCACTGGTTCCCGTGCGATCACAAAAAGAGCGTAGAGTCTGGTTAGTGAGGATCAAACTTAATACTCAGTTGTAATTGATCTCGAGAGATAATCTTGCTGACCATTGCACCTCGTCTTCAGTCATTTCCCCACCTCTATTTACTTTGAGCTCCTTAATAAGATCCAAAGAAGAATCAGCATTATTATCGGTCCTAATCTGGCATCTCGGCTTCAGTCATTTTCCCACTGGCGTAAGGTTGCTTCTCTGTGTCTTTTCTATAAATACATTCTTGGTAATTGTTCAGATGAGCGCTTCGCTCTGAAAGGTAAGTAAGAATGTGTTGTTTTGGTGTTAGGAATAGTGTGGTACGTTTGGGTCAGTGGTTGTGGTTAGCTAAGTTTAAAGTTAAGACAGATGAAGACCGTCCTTTTTCCCCCATTCCCCATTTTGGCCTTGTGTCACATTTTGGAAATATTACAAACTAGCAGCAGGGCCCGGCGTTGCCCGTGCTTGATTCAAAAATCGTACGACTCATACAGCAATCGCTATTACTTGACTTAAAATATTTTTGCCCGTCCTTATCTTTAAAGGAGTGCTCTTTTCCGTGCTGATGTTGCTACATGCCTTACTTCTTGCCTATCTCACACTGCGAATTTTTTCTAAGCTCTATACTAAACATTAAATCTGTTACAAAAAAAGAACTAAACAAAATGAACACAAAATGATCAGCTTTAAAAAAGGACTCGTAACTGGAAAAACCGAATGAAAAAAGAATGTTAACAATAAATACTTTTTCACACCCAACCCAGAATCAGAATCAACGTTGAGTTTAAGCAAGAGAATGAGCCAATTGGAGTAAAGTGCCATGCAGATTTAAATTTTTCCCACTTCTGACGAATGCAGCTATGGATTTTTTTTGCATACTAGCATGCTAGTTAACATTCGTGTCAGTCAGCTGTTGGCTCTCACGCTGGCCAATAGAATCTTCCTGCCTATTCGTGGCAGCCAGCTATAGGCTCTCACTCTGGCCAGTAGAAAATGGCCGCAAACTACATGAAAACTGTTGTAGAAGAATGAAAAAATCGATTATTTCCACTATCGATGGGAGTTGGGAAATGCAAAGTCGGTTTTGGCTTTCCCGCTAACTTGGAGCATGTGCATGTAAATTTTGGTGCATATCCGTCGAAAATTGCGGCCGTGCATTCGTTACACACACACACGCGCGCGCGCGCGCGCCTCCTGCCTTTTATAGATAAAGATAAATAAATATCGCTCTAATACCTAGACTTTTTTTAAAATTTAAGCGCTGTACTAGACTGACGTCGAGATCTCATTGTACAGTTGAGATAGCTTGATGTCGTCTTATGCTAACAGTTTCTTTGATCGCACTTTTTGCTTGTAAATCTCACTTTCGGCTCCATGCTTTCCAGCCAACTTTAATCTGCAAAAATTTAAATGCAATGTCAATTGCTATCTGCTGTCCTGCTGATTACTCTTTCCTCTTGCTCGCGCATTATTAATGTTTCTTTTCCTAAATATTCCTCACACAGTAACCTCTTGAGTCTTAGTGGTTTTACTGCGTTGCATGGGGTGAAACCGATAAAAAAACTGGTTAAAGTGTCCAACAACTGTCTATATAGTTTTTATGGGGACCTACCTGTATGGACAAAATAGACTGGTCTTATGACTATATTATGCCTCGCAAGAAGACTGTAGACAGTTGTCGAGTTGACTACGGTTGACTACGTGTACGACTTCTGTTGAACTCTCTGCTTTGGCAGAGAGGAACCCGGACGAAGCTTTGCCGAAGGGCAAAGTTTCGTCCGGGGAGGTAGACAGGCCCTGAACCCGTCTAGGCGGGTTCAAAGGGTATATGTTTTGGCCAAGCCTACGGGCTCGGGGAAACCCACATATAAACTCGGCCTTGTGCCACATTCAATTCTCGTGGGGGGATCGTTAAATATTGTTGACGAGTTGACTACGGTTGACTTCTGTCGAACTCTCTGCTTCGGCAGAGAGGAACCCGGAAGGGCAAAGTTTCGTCCGGTGAGGTAGACAGGCCCTGAACTCGTCTAGGCGGGTTCAAAGAGTATAAACCCACGTTAAACTCGGCCTTGTGCCACATAAGTTCCTCGTGGGGGGACTGTTAAATATTGTTGTCGATTTGACTTCTGTATTCGTTCTTTTTGTTAATAATACGTTTTCACTGAATTGCTGAGTTCGAGTTTTCCTTCGGACCTCTTCCGGGTCCATAACAATAGTGAATATCATATTCACATCTTCTTGGGCTCGCGTTTTTCACTGACATAGAGTGGAGAGATTACATTAAATGAATTGCTACGTCTGATGCTAACAACGGTGATTCAATGTGTCGCGCCAGAAGATGTTTCTCCTCAGAATCCATCTTGCACATCTAAAAAGGCTTACGGCCATATCACGTTGAAAAATCGGTTCCCGTACGATCACCGAAGTTAATCAACATCGAGCCTGGTCAGTAGTACCTAGATGGGTGACCGCTTGGGCTGTAAGCTTGGATGTGCGGGTGGTGTAATGGATAATGGCTTGAAATTGAAGATCGGAGAGTTGGGTTCCAATTGCAGTTGGACCCGTTATATTCACTTAAAAGCAAATAACTTTAGGAAATCCTCTTCCGGATATGGGTTGATTAGTAGGACTTGTATCAGTAAACCATTCCCCAAAACATTCTTGTAATCTAAAAAATATGTAACCTGGAAATATTTTCTGGCTTTAAATAACCTGCAAAGGGTTGATAGGCCATCAAAAACAAATCAATAATAATTGAAGAGAGAAAATATATTAAGATATGCAGTAATTTGATCCTTCAGATTGTAAAAAGAAGATCGTCCGCATTTGGCACAAAAGGTATCCTTTTTTGAGGGCTCTGTTTGATCAAAAAATAGAATTCAAATTTCTCTATGTCTGGAGCTTCTATTTTGCACAAAAAATAATGAGAGAAAATTACAGAAACTCCTACAGAAGGTAGCGAAGGAAAAGCGAAAAGAAAGGACTAATTATCAAGAGTAAGGGGACAGAATGTATGGTTGCCAGCAAAAGGGACAGCCCAAGATGCAAACTACAAATGGGAGACACTATAAATCAAGCGATTCCAGAAATTTAAACATCTAGACAGTGTGTTCACAGAAGATTTAAAATGTAACACCAAAATGCGAAAGTGCATTGGAAAAGCGAAAGATGCCTTCCAAAAGTTAAGCAAAGTATTAAGAAATAGGAAAATGTTGTTAGAAACAAAGACTAACACTCAAATAAATTATTATTTCTAGTTTCCCTTATTTGCTGTTTGATACACACCTTTTCTAAGTATCCTTACCTGTAACTTCAGACAAAGCATTTTTTTTTCTTAGAAAGCATATTACGAACAGAGATTTTTTCTGAATATGAAAGCAAACTCATGTGTCTTCTCACCGGATTTTTTCAACCTATAGAGTGTTATAGTGGAACACACCTATTCTATAGTTAATAGACTCTCCCACCTATAATAAGTAGGAGTAGTAAGAGTAACGTGGGAGTGGCTGAGTGGCTCGGTCAGTCAGTGGATGCCGGACGACCGTTAGTCGGATACCAAAGTATCAGCGACCACAACTAGATTTCTCTTCGTTGGACCTATTATATGAAGTTCATAACGTTTTGTACGTCGAACCTATTTTAGGACCGACTTAGTACAAATTCAAGCCTCCACTGGGAAATCACTCTACAACATAGAGTGAGGCGATTCTAAGAGAATTAGAAGTCCTACCAGGATTCATTATTGGCTGCCACATAAGATATGCAAATGATCCAGTGTTGATAGCAGACACGGAAAGAAAATTACAAAAATTCCTACAGAAGAAAGTGAGAAGAAAGCAGCAATAAATTCCTTTCTCTCTCCCTTAGCAAGAGAGCCTCTTGATTTTGCCCAATGGGCAGAATACAGCGGCTTCTCTTTTTTGAGGGTTGGACGGGTCCTACTAAAATCAGTTATGTTTTAGTTTGCTTTGTGATGATATTTAGTTTGTTTTGAGGTTCATTCCCTCCTCTCTCATTGTTATAAATTAAATTTTTATCTATGAAATATTTATTATCATCAAATTTTTAAATCTCAGGGTGCGTTTTGTAGGTCCTCCTGAGAGGATACGGTATTAGGGTGGATGGAGGATTGATTGGTGACGGTCGAGTTTTTGTGGTGAATGCGCAAATCGTAACGAGTGAATGGGTCGTGAATCGGATTAGCTAGATATTTAATGAAGACCAGCCTCAACCTCTTTCCTCCTTTTCGGCCTTGTGCCATATTTGTATTTTTATACAATAAATATCGAGAAGAAAGCAATAAACATTAAAAGCAAGAAGACAAAATGCATGGTTGTTAGCAAAAGAGACAGCCCAACATGCAAATTACAAATTGGAGATACTAAAATCAAACAAGTAAAAATTTACATATCTGGGAAGTGTTTTATCAAAGGATAGAAAGTGCGACACCGAAATCCGAAGGCAGCTTGGGATAGCGAAAGATGCCTTCCAAAAGCTAAGCAAAGTATTTGATTTGCTTCTTTAATGGCATATCAACTCCTATCTATTATAAAAATTTAAATTATAACCTATCTATTTATAAATATATATAATATATTTATAAATTTAAATTATAACCTATCTATTATTAAATTATAACCTATCTATTTAGCATGCGGAAATGTATGAAAGAACATTTGACACAAATAATACACAGGAGAAACCTCAAGGAATTTAAATAAAAGTCATTTAATTCCAAAATTTAATTCTCTTAGGAGCTTCGAAGTAATAAAAATTAGATATATGTTATTCTGCTTTCACAATTGAATACATGGTAGATAATACTCAGCTTTTGTGTCTATACATGTGCGTGGGGACATGATCACTAGAGGCTGTGACATGTGTGTTGTAGTTTTGCTGAAGTCATATTTTAGAATATAGTTTGATATCTTTAAGAAATTTTAAGACATCGATTAATGCTACGAAAGAATTCTTTCATATTGGGTAGTGCATTGTTGGTAATTTTAATATAAATAGGTATTTTTATAATTTCATAGAGTTTTTCTTGTTTGGGGGTTCACGATTTGCTCATAGCTGGGACTATAACAGGTGTTACCACCTCGGAACAACACTCCTCAAATCTACTAATCTCCCGATTGCTGCCGGGTGTAGTCTATCGTCATACCCAGGACTACCAAAGTATTAAGTAACAGGAAAGTTTAATTGGTAACAAAGAAAAGTGTACTGACCTATTATGTAATATCAGTCCTCCTATATGGCAATGATTGCTGGATAATCTGACCACTGATGAAGAGGAGACTTGAAGCAACAGAAATGTAGTCCTACAGAAGGATACTGAGAACAATATGAATTGAACATGTGAGCAACGACGAATTTTTAGAGTGGAAACAAAAAGGATACTTATACTTAACATTAAAAAGAGAAAGATTTCTAGGCGATATAATGTGGAAAGACGGCATGGAAAATTTGACACTCACATGATATATCGAAAGCAAGAGAGACAGAGGTAAAAAAAAATTATAACCTATCTATTTAGCATGCGGAAATGTATGAAAGAACATGATTGGGAGATAACAAAAATATCAAATTTACTATGGCTACAAAGTCTGGAAAGTGTGGAGAACCATATTCGCCAACGTCCTGGAGGGGCATGGCACAAAGAAGAAGAAAAAGAAAGAAAAGAAGATGAAAAAGAAAAAGAAGAAAAACATATGTATTTGTAGTGAATAATAATATTATTTACAATGGCGTAATAGCAATTGTTTTCATTACGATGAATTTGGAATTTTTTTCTCAATTAGAACACATGTTACTGATGTTAATTTGGTGGCCGAGTGGTTAGAACGTTGGTTATCTGATCACGAGGCGATGCCAAATTCAGCAAGTACAACAATTTAAATATCGAGTATTTTTTTTTTAACAGAGGACGAAAAATGTGACACCGAAATCCGAATGTGCATTGGGACAACGAAAAATGACTTCCAAAAACTAAGCAAAGTATAAAGAAAAAGAAGAATTTCTTTCGAACATAAAGAAAAACTGTACTGAACTAATATGTAATATCAGTTCTCCTATATGGCAATCAATGCTGGACAATCTCCTCATAGAATAACAAGAGACTTGAAGCAATAGAAATGTAGATCTACAGAATGCTGAGAATACCATGGATTGATCATGTGAGCAAAAACGAATATTTAGAGAAAATGGAAACGAAAAGGACACTTCTACATTAAAAAGAGAAAGATTTCTTGGGCACATAATGTTGAAAGAGGGCTTAGAAATTTTGAGACTCACAGGATATATCGAAGACAGAAGGAACATTGGAAACAACGTATAACCTACCTAAAGAGCTTGTGTAAATGGTTGTCGACAGGGATTAGGTGAGATAGCGGAAAGCTAGAAAGATGCGGAAATTGGATAGAGCCAATTAGGACACATAATGAGGAAAGAGGGCTTGGAAAATTTAACACTCACAGGATATATTAACGGCAAAAGGAACATAGGGAAACAGGGCAAAACTTACCTAACGAGCCTGTGCAGACGGATGGCAGAACAGTGAATAAAGGCGATAGAGAAAAAAGGCAAAAAGAGTGACAAAGGAAAGGTAGATGTGGGCAACTATGAACGCCCATGTCCTCAAAGGAGGTGGTACGTAGGAGGAGGAGTGGAGGAGGAGGAGGGGAGAAGAAGAAGAAGAAGAAGAAGAAGAAGAAGAAGAAGAAGAAGAAGAAAGAATCACTAGGCCGTGACGAAAAGTGCCGAAACTTGTTTACGAGGTCTGTCCGGAAATTATCCAGCCATTGAATATTAACGAATCAGAGTCGGTGCTATACCAACCGCACGAGTTGTTTTAAATAATAAAGCGGACACAAGAACGATTTGCGTGACTTGCAGAATTATTATCACCTTCTTTCTCGTCTGTGTATATATTTTTTAACACTCGCAGCTAGTAACTGATTGCTCTTGCTTAATAAGAGTATACATGGAATTGCTTTAACCCTTTGTGCTCTGAGCATCGCTTTACCGGTGGTAAAGGAAAAAGGACGTAATGCTCAGTCACAGGTTGAAGAGTGGTAAAGAAAAATGACTTAACGCTCAGCCACCAATTGAATGGTGGGTAAACACATGTAACTATTTTTATACCTACCGTAAAACATTACACACCAGTTATTTGCGAATTTTGACTCAGGAGCTCAGGCAGAAGCGTTAAAATATTTCAGGAACGCTGGTCTCAAACGGTTAAAGAATCTTCCAAAGTAATTAAAGGCTTAATTAATTGAAAACAAAATAATTATGATAAGCTAAAACTTGAAGGAGAAATTTACTCTATTAGCTGTAATATTTGCCGCAAATAATACACAGGAGAAACCTCAAGGAATTTAAATAAAAGATTATATGAACACAAAAGAAATCTTTTACAAACCAACATATTCAATATATATTTTCCCAACGTAATGAGTTGAACGATATTTTTGAT